GTTTTAGGCAATGTCATTCACATCTATGACATTTATCTGCCAATGAAGAGGGTGCTTACTATTACCATTTGACTCTGCCCAGAATTGTAAACATTAAACAAGTAACCAAGCTGTCTGTTCATTTTGACAATCTAACACTCATTATCATGCAAGTGTTGGAGCAGCTGTAGTAATGAACACAGCAAAGTAAGCAACAAACCTCATTTATTACATGTTGCAAAATTATCAAATAAATTACATTAACATTTAAAAAAACTTTTAATCCACTTATCTAAATTATATAATTTAAGCAAGCTATATCTAAAAATATATTTATTCACTCAAAAGCATCTTTAATAACATGTTGTAACACTCATACTGTTGCTTATTTTGGTATGTTTCACCACTTTCAATGGGTTTTATTGTTTTTCATGGGGGAGCACTTAAAATCAACTATGGTCCTTTTAAATTGTAACTAAAAAAAATATTGGAACTCCTAAAATTATGATTGAATATTTGGTGCCAATTTCAGAAATCTTCTGAAGCATGACCTGATATATATATATATGTGTGTATATATATTGCTACAAATATTATAGAATAATTAAATAAAAACAATTCAAATACAACAGTTAATTTAATACAAAGTCCACAGTTCTAATATTACTCTAGATGTCTTAGTAGTGTCTTCCAGAAACAGAACTTGTTTACTTGCCCAAAATAATTACAAGATAGGAAATAGTAATTAATGAAAAAGTATAACAATGCACCTGCTATTTCTGCTACTTGATTAGCATTGTGTGTGAAGACATCACAATATAACAAGTACTTTCACATAGGTCAAAACCAGCTTGTATAAAAAAAATTATTGCTAAATCCTTTGTAACAACATAAAAATATAAAATTACTTACCTTGGACCCATAAAAGGTATACCCATTCCTGTTAAAAACAAAGAAAAAAAATCAAAATATAAAAATTACAATGTAATACAAAATTAACAAATATTACTTGAGCAATGCAAATGATCTTCCATTAACTACCAAAAGCCAACATATTGGATGTCAACCAGGTTTTAATAACTTTTAACAGCAAGAACACAGCAATGTTTTCTTTGTTTCATAAACTTATGCAAAACTACACAAGGGCTATTTGTGTTAACTATCCCCAATTTTTAGCTGAGAAACTAAAGGGAACTGGTCAACAGCCTCCACTGCCAATGCTTGGGCTACTCTATTTGAATAATGGGATTTGACTATCACTCTTATAAAATTGATCCTAAAATCCACAGCACAGTATGTTAACCACTATGCCACATCTGGCCTATTACAGCAATGCTTCACTAATTGTTGATAAAATAATTAATGCATGATTTAAATGTTTAAACTTTAGATACTGATATACAAAATCTATCAGGAGAAAAAAAAAAAAAACTCTATTCTTGATTACTAATCTGAAAATGGGAAAATAAACATTTTTTACAAATTATATTAAAAACTTAAAAATTATTCATTACTTTATAGTACCTAATTACCTTTTAAAGATATTCTGTTTCTTACATAAATTCAAATAAAAATAATCATTTTTCACACAAAGTGACCAGTTAGTGTATTTAATAAAAAGTTTCACATCACAAAGTATCTAGAATATATTTCTATTCTCTAAGAAAATAATTAAGCTTTCAAATATGGTTCTCACACACATCAAACAATTGAAATATTTTTCATTCATTATTAAGTTTTCACCTTTATTAGATAAGTTCCTAGTAAAGGATTCTAAAAAAACTATTTAGACTTGTGGCAATTTTAAAGTAAAAACTGATAAATTCCCCCAAATCTTACCTAATGCAGGCAAATGGCCCCCAGTCATAGGGGGCATTTGGCCCATTGGTGGGACACCTGGCATAGCTGGTGGAAAAGGCATTCCAGGCATTGGTGGCATTATTCCAGGCATCGGTGGCATGGGTGCATTTAGACCACCTGCAACTGTGGTGTTGAAAAATGATTTTGACACATCCGAGTCACTTCCTTCGTCACTAACTAGAAAAGGAACAAGACATACAGGTCATCAATAGCATGTTTTCAGGTATTTCATCTGTTCAATAAAAATAAAAAAAAGCTGAAAAATAGCTAATTTGTATAACACTTAAATGGATAGCAAAAACAGAAAGTTACATGGGAAAATAAACCTACAATAACATTTCTTGATATTAGAAACAAATCAAATTCAAAAACCAAATTTCCTATGATGATATGCATCCCACCATACTAAGCCCAAACCTTTGTTTCCACTACAATTCAACATGAAAAATTAATGGTCAAATAAATTTCACTAGTTAAGTATGACAACTAACAACTAAAAAATGTAAGGCTTCTAACACAATGCTATGCAAATAATGTGTTTGATTAAAGTTGTGCAAACATACACAACTTTCCTTTAAAAACTAATTTTTTTAATCTAAAAAAAAAAGCAAAAATTTAGATTATACAATATTGGTTTTGAAATGATCACCACATATCAAATTATTATTAATATCAAGTAACTTATCATGGTATCAAATTTATCACATACAGCTACTCTGAAAGCTCTTAGTAAGATTACAGTCCTTCTGATTTAATGTATAAAAACAAGTAACCTTAACCCTACAAGCATAGAGTTGAACTACTGGACTGAGCCCCCTAGGAAGTTAAATTTCTACTGATTTAATGCATAAAAACAAGTAACCTTAACTTCGATGACGAGGAACCTACTTTGAGACTAATAATGCTTGGAGACGGCTTGAAT